TTGCTTCCCTCGCTAAAGCAAAGATGTCCCGATATTGATGCAGTCCTCGTTAACTTTCCCTGTTTATGACAAGAGATTCCCCAAGAATGGAAAAAAGCAACAGTGACTTTGATGCATTTCCCAATTCAATCTTGGATGCGGTACTCTGCCACCCTACCCTCGAACGTTATATTGAGAAGCAAGCCACAAGCTTCTCACTACCTAGGTATTCTTTCACATCCCAACAAACTCATCTCCAAAAACCCTAGAAACCAAAAACCAGGCCCATATCAAGCAACGGCACATAAAACTCACCATGTGCAACCGTTGCTCCATTCCCAATCAAAATTGAACGAAGAGAGCGAGAAACAAGATTTTTTTGTTGAGAGATATCGAAGTCGCATTTTTGCAGATCAAAATCCTCTATCTGATTGGCTGATGCCCCTAATGGATGTGCTACCTGAGGTGTTTCTGTCTTGAGCGGGAGCGATTCATCACATGGCACAGAGATCGCATATCACTACACAATTGGACACGACAGTGCCGCTGTAGTGAAACATTTATTGCTGTGAAGAAGCAGAATTCTTGAGATGGTTGATATTTGATAGGGATGGATTGATTTTGATGTTGATACCTTTCGAGTAAATTTGGAGAGAAACTCGAGATTTCACAATGGGGGATGATGAAACGAAAGCTCAACAGACGAGAGTTTATTACACTTTTTCTCGGCCCTCAAAACGTAAATCAATCCATGTCATACTTAATCATAATACGTGCAAACCGTTGAGGGAAAACAACCACCCCGGCCCGAACCGATAACTTACTTTCAATGCAAGCAATAATAGAAAACCTTCTCACCCCAGGGTTCACGGATCTCGCATCTCTTCCCTCTAGCTTGCCGAAATCATCAACAAACTCAGAGCCAATAGCAAGAGGAGTTTCTAAACCTTGTCTTGACTTTGCACTCGAGGCAGTCCGGATCGATTACTTTGCAGGCAATCTAGAATCACTCCATGGCATTCCGCTTCAAAGCATCTTGGGTCGTATGCAATACCTAGGATATGTAATTGAAATCAAAGAATCCTGACTTTGGATTCAAATGGTTGGAGGCAAATGAAGTTATTTTGTTTGGTAGACCTAGGCCTAGGTGCATTTGGCTGAAATGAGGGAATCTGATTTCTCGGGACCCAAAACGGCGCTTTATCACTGTTCAAAGGGGGCGGGAATGAAACCAACTCACGTGGTCAGAGGGGAGCTGTGTTCCGGATCCGTGCAGCAAGCATCGTCCTTCGTGCAGATTGTATATGTGCGTGACTGGATATCAGCGCGGCACCTTCTTGTACACAGACTTATTATTGGCGGCATGTGAGAAGGCGAATCAATGTATGATATGTCAATATGCCTGTCCGTAATCTTCCATAGAATACGAGATTCCCATCGCAATTCGCGAGGCACTGAAAGGTAGGGCGGAGAATTAATCCATGAAGCGTAGTGGTGATTCCCTTGGTTGTTCTCGGCCCTTCGGCTTGCGGTTTCTTTTGGGCGTCTTGCCTGCTCACTGATACGCTATGCATCCAAGTCCCTGCGGGGAAGAGATGGGACCGGCATGGCCCTATACGCCATCCAAATGTTATCCAAAATCTGTCTCACTAATAATAAATATGCTTCCGACTCTCGAAATGAACTCTCGAGATATCCAGGTTTTGACAGGAATGAGTCTAGGAGATCTACGTTCAGTGAGTTTGACATCAAAGATGACAACAGACGCCATGGGAATTCTCCGTCCATGGTCTGGAGTGAGACCTCTGCACTATTATCGAAGAAGGAATTGTGAAGTCCACGCATGCTGAATGCGGAAGATGGTTGCCGGCACATTGCATTTGACATTAATATTAGGACTTGCTAGGCTGTAGCTCGGTCCAGGGCACACAATGTTTACGAGACTATCAGGATCTACTCTATCAAACAAAGTAATCTCGTCTTCCTGCGCGATCCTCACTAAGATGGATAGAGGTAGGAAGAGGTGCGAGCAGATGAATGAAAAGATTCATACATCCATCAACGTCACCTTGGTTTCCCGCTTAGAAATGTCAAAAATGTCAAACATGGCGCAGTCTAGGGCAACAGCTGATATGTCTACCTATGAATGAAAGCCGCAGTTGTCCGTCAGTAGTCAACCATTTGACTCGGTCAGTGAGAAGTGGAGAGGACGACAATAGAAGCAAAACAAACCTAGATAATTAATCGACATTTATGGAAATGTATCTTAATGTTGCCTCCTTCGAGCGCACTAACAACACGCCAGTACCGTCTGATGAAGGACTCCTATTGACTAGGGACAGACATCTATCTTCCTGATATCAACGATAATTTCAAGGGGCTGAGACATTGAAGTCCGAAAAGCTTCAATAGTCCCATGTCACCACAAGAGACGGCCCTTTTCATCTTTTGGGGGGAATTAGGGATGAAATTAATTTCGTAGGAAAGTACTAGGTAGGTTGATTGGATGATGTAAGTTGGATATTGATGTAATTATCGGTAGTTGATTACGCCGTCGCCATACACTTTTTATTTTTTTATTTTTTAAGTCTGGATGAGAAGTCGAGGAGTTGCAATTGATCAAGAGAAGTGTACAAGAAGAAAGTGTGCTGTTGCTTGCTATTGCTAGCTGTACTTTCCATTGGAACCTTGAACCTTGCACCTGATACCCTACACCTTACACCTTGCACCTTGCAGCTCCCACCTTGGGGTAAATCCGCAAAATACTTACTTTGGTCTAGGAAAACTAGTGGACTTCCCCTCATACGCTAATTGATTAAAAATTGCCGTAGTCATAAAAAATCGCGCAAGTTTTTTTCTAAATTTGGTAGCAGGCAACGACAGACCTAGACATTGACTTTGCAGAAACTCCGACTTCCTCTGACTACCCAGCTCTCTCCCGCAAGTCTTCTCGTCCATTTTCATTCAAAGGGTCCAAATGCTAACCTGCAGCCTTCAAGACAGCTTTGACGCTTAACCTGCTAATATTGTAGTGTCACAACAGGTTGAAAATCCCCCACTTATACTCTTCTCGGAAAAGCTGGCAAAGACAAAACAAAAAAAAAAAAAAAAAGAATTCAAGGACTTCAATTGGTTGTATGATACACCCTTCTCTCACTTTGACGGCCAATAGAGATATTTCGATCCTTATGATGGCGCATCTCGAGGCTCATAGCTCGTAAAAGGCTCTGCCAAAATTATCCCTCCTATTGTCCAATCATGATTCTCGCTTCAGCATGCACATCAGATCTCAGCCATCTTAGCTACCTTGGTCAATACCTTGCTTGTTGATTTTCATTTGACTTTCGGCTTGGGATTGACGAACTAAATCTTTCCCCGCCCGCCACTGATGATTTGCAGGAAAAGGAAATCGTGTGAGGCTCTCAAAGACGCTTCGGGCACCCTAAGCCGGCGGTACCTGATGGATGTGATAGCTCAGATTTGGTAGATCATCCACAGACTTGCTCCACCAAATCTAGATAGACTTCCAGCAACTAGATATTGTGTTCCTGCATCGAAGGACCCCCAGTTCAAGTGTTAGTTTGTCAACGCAATAGAAGGTCGTTACGGCTGGTTGCTTGACCACGAACTTTAGTTGTTTTTTTCGTTGGCTCTATTCTAGGTTCCTATACTTCGCCCTCAACTATCGACAATGCTCTCGAGCTAGATCTTGCATCTTGTGCTGCTTGTCAGTAAACCTTATAGGAAGCTAATACACTCGAGTTCTTCCTATCAAAGTCTTAGTTGATTCCCCCCCCCCCCCCCCCCCCCAAATCACTATCATTTGGCCCTTGATCTTGCGCAACGTTCTGTTCACCCGGAAGCTTTATTGATTCAAACTTTGTACGAGTATCTTCGGTACCTCCGGCTTTTGGTAACGTTAAATCCAGTTCCAGGAGATTGGAACTCGTTATAGCCCAAAATCACGTCAACCTGCTCGAAAGAGAAAGAACTCAGATGTACTAGAAGAGATAGACGTATTGACTACTTCACGTGCTAATGATCAGCAATCATTTTGAGACTTTCCAACCAAACTCGACGGCGTTAGTATCAATATTCGGGTATCATATATCTCAACATCTCTCCTCCTTGAAAATAGACCGCAGCCTGCAATATACCTATCATACCTATCATACTTATCCTACACATCACACATATCAATATCATTAATCTGCAAGATCCTGCTCCTTCAACATCATCTCGCATCAATATAAAATTACGTTACCAGAGAACGTTTCAAGTCAACATCAGGGATACAGATAATCATCCATTCATTCATACATCCATTCTCCGCATATCGAATCTGTTCAGGCGGCAAGTCCAAGGGGCCATCCGTTGCCAATCAAGCTTGCACTACTGAGTTCAGCACACTCACTGGCACTCTTCATACAAATATCCAAACTTCAACGAATGGAAATTTCGCTCATCCCGTCAGTACATGAATCTTTCCTCATTCTTGTTCTCATTGCTTCATCACAATCATTCCATCAGCCATTAACCGGCGCATTGGATCAGCCGTGCATTCAAGACCCTAGCCACGTTATACCCTTTTGGTGGAGGAGCATAATATCTATTCTTCACCCACAAATTATATTCACCATCCCGAAATCGTCCTTCTTGCATTTTGTCGAGCTTGCTATCCTTATCCTTGTCCATTCGATCGGAAGTCTTGCTGAAAAATGCTTCGTAGGCTAACTGCATTATAGCCAACAGTTTTCGTACGTTAGTTCTCAAGAAATTTCTGCAATTTTCCGCAATCTCATTGTTTCAATTGAACTCGATCGCATTATTCCCCGAAGCAAACATTGAAACAAGATAAGAGGATATCCAGAAGGACGAGAGAAATCTTTTCATCTCAAATCATAACTTTTCTCAATTTGCCCTTTGATATTCTATAAAAGTACTACGTACATTACCAGACTTCGTTGAGACATTCGAAACCACCCACCCACTATCCCAGACTTATCCTCGCCTGCATACTTTACAGTACACCCACTACAACCCACCGTACTGTACTTATCTCAATCAAGCATCAACAATCTGGAACATTTTCATAATCGGCAGACTCTTGCCTACACACGGGTAGCTCTTACTACACTTACACGCACGGCCTGCTCAACGACCGCTACTACTCTATTTTTCCATACTTGGCCCCCAAAATAAGAGGATCAGCAGGCATTAGATTTTAAGGGATCCCAAATCCATCTTCACACCCATACAGCCAGCCTATCAAGGACGCATAAAATCATCACTATCATTGTCGGAAGCTGGTTCCAGTTCCCACGAGACGCCAACTACCACCCCCGAAAACTTAGATTGCGACAACAACAGTCAAGCTCGGAGCTTCTCTACCGTTGCGCTTCCGCGACCAAGTAAGACCCCTAAAACGGCCCAAAAAAAAGCCCTGCCGAAGACAGCGAGCAATTCAGCAAACAAACCGGCGATACGGTGCAGTGCATTTCAGCACAGCAACGAACAACGACTGGCTGGACAAGAAGAGATTTCTCAAAACACATTGGAAAGGAGCCAATCAATAGAGACAGAAAAAAAGAATTCGATTAAGAGCAGCTCTATCGATTGCGAGACTGTCGAATTCTTTGAGTCTTCTTCACACCACCTTTTTGTTTTCTTGAATTCATTCTACCATTACACGCCGCTTTCAAACGTCCCCCCCTGTGCGTAAGGATTCGAAACAATAAGCCGGGTACGGGTAAGATTTAAGCAAGAAAATCAACATCTTCCTACCGAACGTTGAGAAGTACGGACGTCACTGCGAGGATATTCCTGGCAATTTCGTGCATATTACCGCTCCATTCCAGCCGTCGCATTAATCATACCCTCGATACTCTGTTTGGCAGATTCGACCCTGTTCAATTGCGAATCTTGAGTATCTCCCACAGCTCTTTCAGCGTAACTTTCGCCGGGTGCTTTACTCTCGGTGGGTATCTGAGGCCTTGTCAGGGGACAATTTAGGATATTCGTGGAACTCAAAGGGAGAGGATTAGCGGCGCAAGAAAGCCACTCTCACCAATCTTGGATCCTCTATCATAGGTCTTTTTTATCTTTTTGATTCTTGTTTGCACAAGGCTAGTTGGGACCCCATCAAAACCGACCCGTAACCAATCCCAACCCCAGGCCTCAAATACCAATTCTACAGGGACTCTTCAGGCCTGTTCGAACAGTGCGTTTGCATCAGTACCTATACAGAAATCAGGCGACGAATAAGGAACGGCAATTCTGCTTTTACATTCTTGGAGTGTAATTTCGCGAAAGCACGCACGATAGCTTCTAGCAGCGAGTAGCAAGCAAGAAGCAGCAAGCAGCAAGCAGGAAAGAAAGGCAGCCTTTCGGAAACCAGGAAAAGACCAAGACAAGGGAAGAAAAGGCAGAGAAGTAAGAAAAAGAAAGAACAGGAGGGAGAAGAAAAAAAGAGTTGTTCCTTGAATTACTGTGCATTTCTCCTTGGGAGGCTTTTTTGTTTCTCATTTGGCTCAAGATTATTTTATCGCCTTTACCCTCTATCGCCTACCGTACTCCTCTCTCTCTTTTCCCCTCTGGCCTGACTTTAGCACCGTTCCGTACACACACACCTACATCAAATTACTACCTATATCATCCATCTTCTACTAAAATCAAAAGCCTCCATCAACAACTCCTTCGTTCAACCCAACTTCCGGGACGGACGACGGTGACAATCCGTTGTTGCTGGTGTTTGTATTTTCGTGTCTTACATTAGACGACTCATCGTCATAAGAAAATTATACCCCTACCCTAACCTTCATATCCACCATCAAAACTCTCTTCCTTCGAGTATTCTTTATTCGTTTTCATCACCATCCACGATTGGGACAACTTCCTCTCAATCTCTTCTATCCGGCTTGACGTCGAATTTTCAAACCAAGGGTCCATCCAGATAACATTATCGTGGGAAGCCGGTAGATTTGGAAGGGGCGAGGCTGCAAATGAACGATAGTAAGTAAGCCAGCCATCCATCCTTTTTATCTGTGATCGACGCCTCTTCTCTCTTTTTCAATTCTTCAACCAGACTGTACTTCTCTTCAGCTTTCAGCTTCACCTATTGTGCGGAATATCCTCCATCCACAAAAACACAATTGATTTTTGGTTGTATTCGGAACAATTTCCCACATCTCTTTTTTTATTTATATCTTCATGGGAAAGTTGATTGAAAAAAAAGTGTCGAAGTCCAAGAGAATAATTTTCGACACTTTCTCGTTTTATTTTGGGAGTTGTCGTTGATAATTCTCGCGAAATGGTTGGTGTAGTAATTCTCCATTCCTCCTCCAATGCGGTCTTCATATCAAATATCAATCATATCATTGCCTAGCATATCACCATTACACTTCAACCTCTACACTTCACACATCATACTCTAAAATTCACATCTCACATCTCACACCTGATAAAGCACAAACCGCAGAGCAATACAGTGTAATGCCGGGCCCTGACAGTGAATTGGTCAAACGGAACGTTTCATGGAAGAAGTTCCCGAGTGCGACGTTCACAATCAAATCATCAACACAACCCTCCATTCTACAATATTCTACCATTTATCCTCTCAATCAAAAAATTGACATTCAAAAAGAGGCGCACAAAGTAGCCTAACCCCAAAAACGTTATACATCCTTCTCCCTATCATATCATTCAATCTGAATTTTGCCAGAATTCCCCTCCTTCCAAAAGCTTCATTAATCACGCCGTTACAGTACAATTCACTCTCTATCCAATTGGCACTGTCTTTACAATCTTCCTTTTCGTTCTGATTGCTGGTTCGCCTCGTTTATGTTTTTTTTATCCATAAAGGTTTCAATCACCTATCTCAATCTTACTACCTTAAACATTTCGGGAATTTTATATCATCCGATACTAACCATCTTACCCAATAGTCCTCACAACTCAAAAATTAACACTCGATCACTTCATGTGCTCTCAATCTGGTAATATCCAAGACCTAACCGCCTATTCAGGGCATTCGTCTTCGTGTATTGTCGGATCCGAACCAGAGCCTGACAGCTCTTCAAGACAGGAATTTGTTCACCCTCCGTCGTTACCCTCTGATATGGGGATGCGATACATGACAATTCCAGCGACAGATGATGTACGGTAAGTTTACCCCCAAATTTCGTTGGTCATTTCTTTTCTTCCGATGTACCCCCTCGTCGACCTTGCATTTAGGCACATACACCACTCCTTGGGTTGTCTCTCATTATCGTTAATTTCAAAATTATGCAAGTATCTACCGCTTGTGCGATCTGCACTAAAGCTGGTAATGTAATGAACATGCCACGACCCACACTCCGTCATTGTTCTTATCCAGTTGTCACACAACTTAAGCCTCAGATGAAGCCAAACCGCCTGCACTTCCGCAATGGTTCGCATCACGCGAGTAGTCCCCGCTATTCTGTACCACTGACGGCTGTGTTGGCTGTCATACATATGCAGTCCAACTGGGCATCATTACCGCCATGAAGAAATTCTAATCCATAGGCCGTGTCTCCTCAGAACCTTATCTTCTTTTGTCTTACACTTGTTTAAACCCGTGGCTGATATGATAGCTCAGTTACACTTCCGATTCCGGTACCTCTCATAGCCCTGTGTTCTCGATAGAACCCACGATACCAAACTCAATCCCGTCCAATATCCCATTCCCCCCATACGCGCATGCCTATCAGTCAACACTGAACGGTCCCACGTACTCAGGTGGGAGCAACTCGTACTTTTCTCCGAGCTCGTCCTTATTTTCTATGCCCGATCTTAAACCCCGCTTGAACTCTATGTACGTACCTTCCACCCCCTTTTAAGTACTTCGATACACCACCATTTCTGTGCACAGATAATAATGATCTATCCGCACAGTCACTCCTCCCCTGGAATGGCACCACCCTCACGCTCACCAGCCTTACCACATCCACAGTCACCAATAAGCACACGAGATTTATACGCAAGTGCAACACCACTTTTACGAAGAACGGACGGAATTTCAAGATCTCCGTCAACCTCTGGAACTGTGAGAGGCGTACCGTTATCACCATCTAACAGCGGATTCGCAAGTCCGGCGAATATGGAGGGTTCCCAACTTGGAGGGCCACTCACCCCTCCTCTAAATCCGACAGAAGTTATCCTCACTTTGCAGGCGGCTGACGGACAGATTATCACTCCAGAAATCTTTGGCAAAATTGATAAAGGATTTTTCATGGCAGAAAACGATTGGACCTGCTATAGAAGAAACTATTTTTCGCTGAGTTGCTCATTTACTCTTCAACCTATCGTTCCGGGAGCAAATGTATATCTTTTGTTGTCTGGTGGAATGAGACCGCAGGTACAGCAGTTTGCGATGTCCATAGCTGCAGTGGTAGATTCGCGCGATGGAAAGTCAATAGAATTGGTTCAGCACACTCCCAAACGAGACAAAGGACCACAAGATAAGCCGCCAAGAATCGCGGTGGCCCCAAGACCGCACACAACGCATAACATGTATGGCGGCGACAACGGTATTGGTGGTGGGCCGCGCGGAATGTACGATGGATCCTTCGGTCAGTCACCAAATTCACCACCAAATGAAGCAACATTCGAGCGCATCCAATTCAAGAATGCGACCGCGAATAACGGAAAACGGAGAGCTGCTCAACAGTATTATCACCTGCTTGTAGAACTTTTTGCAGATTTGGGTACTAACCACAACCATTCGGAACGCTGGGTAAAGATTGCGGTTCGTATGTCCGCACCAATGGTGGTGCGTGGTCGCTCACCCGGACATTACCAGAGCGAAAGACGCGGTAGTAATGCAAGTTCTGGACCTGGAGGCGCTGGTGGTGCTGGTGGTGGTTCATATACACCATCTGGATCATCTCGCACCCCGGGCGATGTTACCATGTCTGGAACTTCCTCCATGCTTCCCGGTTCTAACAATTACGGTTCTTACGATGGTCGGTCCCACCATTATCGCACTGGACCTCTTCAAATTCCTATGGAACCTACTCTTTCTGCTGAAGAAGCCAAAAGCATTGAGGATGCTCCTTGCTATATGTACTACCCAACTCCAATATGGGAGGGCGCAGAGCCACGGAACCAATTGCCTAGTCTTCCAGAATATGTGCCAGGAAAAATCAAGCAAGAATACAATACTGGTGGCTACTCTTTACCGAGTATCAGTGGTGCACAAGATTCTTTGGGTAGACATTGTGGAAGGTGGGAAGGAGTCCCGGAATCAAAGGGTTATTTTCCAACAATGGCACTGGCACAGGAACTCAATATCAGCTAGCCATTTCACATGAGGGACTAATCGCAATTTAACACGCGATACAACACGTGTACTACACTAGGCTGCAGTACTCGTGAGCCCCGTCTTATCTTTCTCCCTTCTCCGCTCTGGTTCACTTTTAATTGTCTGCGCATCGCATTTCATGGTTGCACATTTCTTCAATTGTCAGCTGGAGTATAATGGATTGGCTCATCGCTTGGTTGCTTGATATATCTGCAGAAAACACCCTGATTATGAAATTGATTGGCGCAAGGATTAGGAAAGAATTGAAGGCTAAGGATCATGTTAGCATATTTGATTGGGATATTTCACTGGGGGAATACTACAAAATCGAATGGGATCGGGTTCATATCATTTCGATATGACACACATACAGGATGGATCAACATGGATCAGATGAATGGATGGAAAAAGCTTGCATCTAGGTTTGGTCTAGGATGGAACGGGAAAAAGATACATTGAATTTTGGTGACGGAGTTAGATTTGGTCTCGGTTATTTCTTTTTTGCGGATCTCGGGCATGGTAATGATGGATGAATTGAATGGATGGACAAATGGGCAACAAGGGAACCGGATTGCAATGGATTGGGATGGATGGGTACATGATCTCGCCAATCGCGGATCCTGGTGTTTCTTACATGTGTCGTTGATGGATTTCTCATCGTGTTTCTTGTTATTTCCTTTTTTTGTTATTGAGTTGGATGTGAAGGTATTTGAGAAGGCTTTACTGCCCAATCGTATCTTTTGCATCAGGCTCAGACACAATAGTTCCTCTTTGCTTGCATCTGATTATTTCTTCTACCTTGACTGCGTGTTTGTTGATGTTGCTGCGTGGATGGACTTATTGTTGACGAATGAATTTGAGTTGCGGGCTGTTGAGTGAGCGTTTCGTACTTTGAGTTGTGTCCGGTGTTGTTTTTGAGTGTGGGGATTGATGTGGCTGAGAAGAGAGACGGGGAATCAGAAGTCGAGAGAGTATGGTAAATTGACCAAGGGTACAACGGCTTGTGGGGATGATGACTGCCAGTGAGCAGATAGAAAAGCCAGGAGAACAACAGCGAGAGGCTGGGGAGGATAAGCGGAAAACTGTGTGGGAAATCGAAGAGTTGATGTTTCGTTGAATTTTCGTTTTGCCATGCCAGTCAGTTAGTCGATTAGTCAGTCAATGCAGGAGGCTTTTGTTGATATATACATAAATTTATTTCATGATAAGGGTGATGGAACTACGAATCCGTGAATCCGTGAATCCGTGAAACCATGGAACAGTACAGTGCGATGCGATTGAGATACCTACCGGTAGCTCTTTCAATCCCGTAAGTAAAAAACCATCGTGTGTATTACCGGAGTAAAAACCAGGTACGATACAGCACGTCTCCATTCATTTCCTGCTATAAAGACCGGGAACCAAAGGAACAGGAGCTGGGATCGGTATGGCTTGCGACAGTGTCTCGATTACATGTTACAGGTCGTAGTACATACAGGTCATACAAGTAGTGTGAGGTAGTATGGAGATCTGCATCTTAGCCCGAGTAATTGTTTGTGTGATTCTGCGGGCATCTTTGATCTTACCTTTTTTCTTGCTCTGGGGTTCTCTTAATCGCTGCTTATCTCTCGTTGCTGTTTTTTTAACAGTTTCTTGGTACGGGGGCAAGCAGAAACGCGATAAGTATAAGTCGTGGAAATACACAAGAGGGTTTAGATTGAATAACAGGAGAAATGGAAAAGCTGTCTTGGATTGGAAGATCCTATCTTGCTTGGTCAAATATGGGTTTTTTGTTAGGAATTTTGTTGACACTATTGTAGAAAAATCGGTCTCATCGATAATCACATGGTGATTTTGCAGCCACGTCATGCGAAATTGATGTATGATTCAATTTCATCGATTCTGCTACCTACCGTGACTTCGCCCTGTGTGACGACAATAATAATGCAGATCCAGTCCTAATACTCGCAAAGAGAAGCAACCGCAGCTGGATACCTATGCCCTTGCACCGGGAAGCTAGCTAGAATCCCATTGATATTATCGAGATCCGAGTCCGTAAATTCAACCTCTGTAGTATTCTCCCTAACCCGAGACTCAGATCTGGCTCCAAATACTGGAATGATGGGAGGATAGCCTGGCTTCTTGCTCTGCGATTTAATCCAACACAAAGCCAACTGTGCGGGTGTACAGCCCTTATTCAAAGCTAACTTTCCCAACTCTTCCACCAGTTCTAAGTTCTTGTCAAAGTTTTCTGGCTGAAAACGGGGAAAGTGACGGTGAGGATCACTCTCCGGCAAATCATCCAAGCTTTTGAACTGACCGGTCAGCATGCCTGCTCCAAGCGGTGTATGAGCAACCATCACGATTCCCAACTCTCCACAAGCTTCTGCGACGCCGTTCTCAAAGACATCTGTAGCCCACAAGCTAATCTCTGCCTCGAGCATGTCGATCTTTGCCACTGCGCTAGCTCGCCGAATGGAATTGGCTGAGACCTCACCCAATTGAATCCCGCCAATCAAACCCTTCTTGACGCACTCATTCAAAGCCTTAATAGTATCCTCAATCGGTGTAATTTTGTCTTGTCTAGCCATGCCGAAAAGATCAATATGCTTATGACCTCCTAAGATCTTATTCGCATTCTCGACATACTTGTAGACCGCCTCCGGCGAACTATCCATCTTGAATGTCTTCCTATCCGCAAACCCACTCTTGATACAGAGAACCACTTTCTCGGCATCTTCAGCATATGCTGCGAAGTAGCGCGCGAGGAGATGGAGGGAGTTATTTTCTGCAGAACCGTAGAAATCGGCGCCATTCCATACATTTACTCCAGCTGCGAGAGCAGCTTTCAAGACGGGGAAAGAAATGCTGTCGGGTGTTTGCGCGCCGCGCCAGGTCATTCCTAGGGAGATTAGTGAGAGTTCGACGACTTGAAAATGGTTTGGATGGAGGGGTAAGTGGAAGGTGAGATTTACGCATGAGACCTAGGCCATTGTGGGATATCTCTTTTCCTGCGAGAATAGGCATCTCTATCTGAAAGGTAGAATTTACGTTGTTGTGGGTAAGAGAAGAAGATAGAGAGAGAGAGAGTACACAGAGCTCTGGTATGATGGGGCAAAAGGTTATCTATAGGGAAAAATATGTATTTTTAGAGAAGATTCTCAATTTAAAAAGCTGGAGGTTTATTGCAAAAATGTAGGAAATCTCGGAGTTAAGAGAAAACCGTCGGACGCGCGGTAGGAGGGGAAGGTACGGATCGCATGTGACAGTGATGGTGATGGTAACACAGATCGCATACCGCCGTGTCTCCAATGTCTTGAATCGGATTTTGAAAACCAATTTTCGAGAATGGCTTGCTACAGTACTTGGAGTTTTCATTTTTTTCGCCAATGTGAAAATTATCTTGCGCGTTAGGGATTGCGTCATGCGTCCGAATCGAGGCTTGCGCTAGTGATAAATTGCATTTAAATTTCACATGTCTACTTAGATACTATCTATTTATCATCAATCCGTCATTCGATTTTATGAATCAGATGTAATGTATTAAGACTGCGGTAGGAAATGATATCATAAACACCAATCCAAGATTTCGAACACTGTGAAATGATTCCACAATGCCAAATATGTCACGAAACTTCCCGTGGTGTGATATGTCTAACTTTCAGTATTCCACAAGTGTAACACCGCAATCTACACTCTCACGACGCCTTTACACTTTCACATTCTTTTACTGTATAGGACAATTTTGTGTTCGGATTTTGTCTCCCGGCCAAACCTCGATATCTCCGGTCTCATAAGTGACGGAGCGAAGGTTTGAGTAACGATCGCATTCATGATGTGGCTTGGTATGAAGAATTGCTTGATTTGAAGTGGGGTGTCAGATATGTTTAAGTCTCGATTGATGGAGAATTGAGATTTGGTCCAGAATCTATCTAGGTGGATTCAGGAATATTGCAGTTTGGAAGAGGCGTTACGAAAAGGGGGTTAGTGTCAATAGGCGAGACTATGTCGTATGGCTAGTCAGAAATGTTAAACACGAGGCTCAAGATTTCTGGCCATTTTCATCTACAATGGGCATCTAATTTAAAGACCATACACGAGATTTTCAATGGAAATGATGTAAGGAAATACTTCAAACATCAAGATACAAGGGAAAGCTTAGGTAGCTGTAATTAAATTGTTTAGATTAACTATTGTCGTTTTAATTTCACCTCCTATATACAGAGAATGATGATTATTTGGTAATACTTCGAGAAAAAGATAATGGTAATATTAAAACATATAACGATAGACTGATTACGTCTCACTTGATAACTATATCTTGGAAAGCTTGATCACTATTCTTACTATACTATCATATTTATTGCTCCTAGAGTTTCGGCTGGAAAACTAGAGACATGCTGTGCCATATAACGCAAACAGTATGTAGTTGTCAGAAATAAAGAAGAGGGAGTACAACTGAGTATATATAGGAAAATAGGCTGATTTATACAAATCAAATTCACTCCCAAATTAGTACGGAGCGGACAATTCTGTTCGATTTGGGATCAGTTTCAAACTAGTGGTCCTCTAGGACTCTAGAACACCAAGCTTGACTTGCCCTGTCGCATTAGCTCAGTACGAATGATGATGATATTTACTACAAATACGCCTCGGGAATCTCTCTAGCCTTCTACTACCAACACCTCGATGGTTGATGGAATGGCTACGAGGACTATGAACTCTGGATCATACTCTGCTGAGCAAGGGAGAGATTTGGAACTCGCCTTTCTACGAGGCTTCTTGCAACTTTTCGCGGCTTCCTGATTTCGCTCTTGATATCTTTTGCTGTCAAAGATACGAAGATGGAGACAATAAGCGGGTGAAGATGATGATGAAAGTGGTGAAGTGACAACAAAAGAAGCGTGAGTAATTGACAATAAGACTGATATATTATGCAGCAACAAACACCCCGATTCATGATTACAATTCCATGATAGATGTTCTAGTTTTTGTCTCTTTTCAAACGCACCACCAACCCCTCTAGTAGCAAAGTTAATACCTAGATACGAAAAGAAATTCAATATAGAACCCTATATAATATAAAATGTTATATTAATGGTTTCTTTGTTATTAATGAAATAATATTTTGTTAATGATAAATATAATTAGTACTTTTTGTGATCTATTTATTATTAAATTTTAATAAATATAAAGAAAATAAGAATTCTAAAGGATTTTAAAGATTTCGAGTATTAAAGTTGTAGGGAAAGTAAATGAAAAAGGAGTAAGTATAGAAATTAAAAAGGGAAAAGAAAGCGAGTATATAAGTTTAAAAAAAAGAGTGAGTAGGAAAGTAAGTATAAAAACAAGAAATTAATGAAAAGTATTAATTAATTGAAAGTTTAAAAAGAGACTTGTTTATCTTGTTTTTAATTTTATTCTTTAACTAGAAACTTTATTATTGTATTATATAGTATAGAATATATCAAATAAATCATATTATAATCTGATTTTAATATAAGTAGACTTTTTTCATATGAAAATGATTATCTTAAACTAAAACTTTAAAAATCAGAAAATTTCGAAAATTAATTAAGATTTTATCAATTGAAATGAGTTTTGTTAGATATAGAGATTTGGGTTGATTATATTAATATCTTAAGAATAATCTTTTCAATATAGTATTAAATATTGAAAATTTTATTATATTTGATGAAGCAATTACTTTGTTATCCACAGATTCTCCCACTACAGGGAACAGCACTATCATTGCTTTGCCACAGCAAAATCTACCAACCAAAGAAGAGTCTCTTCTGGAAATTCTCAAAGTCACCTGGGACCTGCAAGATACCAGATTCTTTTCGACTAGAGAGTGGCGAGAAAAAGAACATTAGAGATGGTAGAACGAAGTATAACATAGGAAAATAGGCTGGTCCATGCTAGCCTGATCAAAGTGTGCAAACAGGACAAATTTGTCCCAAAAAGGCCCTAGTTCTAAGATCTAACTATAAGAAGGCGCCATCCGTCCTTCCTTTCTTCCTCTGTACACATCAATCACTCTTTTCTTGAAGGGGCCAGGGGCTGGAGCTTGTATCGCGCGTTCTTACGTAGCTGCGAACGTGCTTTGGAGGTTGTATTATTTTGCTATAACTGAGACTTTGAGATCAAGCAAGCTTTATTCGATGAATGCAATCTGAAGAGAAGCACATTGTTCATGGGTGACAAATGTTCGTAGTGACAGTGAAGCCTTATGATTATAGTATCAAGAATTGTGCTAAGAACAACAAACGAGATTTTAATTTGACAGTGAAAGAATAAAGAGTCACTAGACGACTGTAGTTTTCCGTGTGAGTTTGACCCTTCGGTTCACTCCACGGTATTCGGTAGAGTCTAGGAGCCGAGAGAAGCAAAAGAGGTGTACACTATCCCTCGAGCTTGGAAAGCACCGAGTCACCTATCATAACCATTATCCTACTTTACTCTATCTGAAGGAGGAATAATTAGTCACGTCTACCACAAAGGGGTCTATAGAGCTATGACCGCTTAGTAGCAGTACCTAGTGACAACAAAAAGTAGCCTTAAAATCGAAATTAGCATCGTGCCATTCTTTGTCGTTGTTTCAACTCAACATTGTCAATCATGTCGCTACTAAGATCTTGCCTTAATCATTGTCATTACTTCCAAGGTCTCATATTAAGTAAAACGATCCGACGACGGTGGGAATCACTACATCAGGTATCTCAGAAGCACAAGCATGTTTCTTTTTTTTCGTCAGGAATATGTGAAGATGCTCCCGCACACACACCTAGCCACCGATCAAAGACAGCACACCTTCCCGAGCCGACCCCACAGTCCAGTGGCAGATATTGGAGAAGAAAAGAGAGAACAGGGGGAGTGGGAAAAGGTATAAATGGTAAAAGGGCCTGGTTCGTGCGAGCCCGATGCGCAGCTCAAATTTGAGCAAACAGGACAAACTCATCTAGATCAGGCCTAGCGCAATTCATATTGCTCATGTTACTCATATCTGTTAGTTTTGATGTAGTATGTTTCCGTTCAGAGAAACGAAAATACTCTCTCTCTCTGTGAATAAGAGCCACTATGTTCACCCCATTGAGAACATCATGAAGGCGTAAAAATCACCTTGATCTCTTTTCAACAGGCTATACATTTACTACTAGAGTATATCTTGGCCTCGAAACTGCACCATACTCGATTAGGACGAGTTTGTCCTGTTTGTCCTGTTTGTCTACCACTAGTACCTAGGTAGAATTCAAGCCCTCGATTGAGCTCGCACGGACCACGCCATTTTCTATTTAAAACGCTCTTCTGTCTTGTCAAACTTCTCCTTTTTCTTTTCCTTCATACCGCACAAGCCGCGCTGCAATCATGCATTTATATGAGCAACTTTTTTCTTGGCTGTTTTCTCTGTGCATGTTTACCTCGTGAGAAGAGTGCGCCGTGAGCCTGTAGACTAACGTGCCCCGATAGATCAGATGCGAGAGTCAGCAACGTGTTTTTCTAGTAGAAGTAAATCGTTCGTTGTCATTAAGTTTCTGTGTTTGTTGTCATTGATTCAGTTATTTAAACGGCTTTGAATAACATTGTCATGGACAAAACTAGAATAATCACTGTCGTTCAAGCTACATTCTTCTTCTAGTGGCTTTCAGCCATACTTTCTTCCCGTGTTTCTAATCGAATCTAATCTCATTCCAGGGCGGTATGACGCCGCGCAAAAAGTAGTTCCACATGAAAACTCAAGCGTTCCAACTTTCCACATGTCCTAAGGAGAAGACCCGAGTGCTTATGTCTGAAGGGATAGGATAGAATGAGTTGGAGAAAGACAGGAGGTTAAACAAGGAAGCCGGCTAGTCTTTACTAGTCCGATAAGTTTGAGTAACCAAGACAACATTGCAAACTGTACAAACACGTTCCAATTGGATAGGAGCTCCTTCCTCGAGCCTTGACCCACTTTACTGCCCATTGTATAGATCCTGTGGGAAAATTAAAGTGTCCAAAATGTTTTAGAAAGGAGCAGACATTTAAACCTCGCTTGGAACTATTTCTATCAAACAAATTCTACATTTGAGTCTGCTCGAATGACTATTTCGAGATTCAATATTAGAAACACAGCCCAGCAACTGAAACAAACCTTCTGAACTATACATCACCACCCCACTCCACCTCCCTCCTTATCTCTCTCCAACTCTCTCCCCACCATATCAACATTCCCACTGGTACATAACTCAATCCCAACAGACTAGCGAAGATAAACCACGCCCAGAAATAGCCGATACTTTCAGCTAGAGGCAAAGCAAAATAACCCACCACAAATGACAATCCTCTCGAAAGATTAAAAAGTATTCCCGTCTCCGGGGTCTGCGGCTTATAGAAATCGGAGATGTAAGAGTAGAGCGTTGTAGAGCATATTTGAAGACCGAAAGAACCTATATATGATGATTTGTAAGCTTCTAGTATCATGATAGGTACGAGATAAGGATATTGCTAGAGACCATACCTATCCCAAGCCCAACCAAAGGTCTCACAAACCCCGTTTTCCCCCAAAGTCCCCCGAATTCTAAGAGTCCAGCAGGCATGAAAATTGCAGATAGCGGCGAGGGAAACAAACGATACTCCGGCTTTCTCTCACCATTATGTCGTTGCGCCATATGATACATGATGGCATCTGAAGCACGACCAGCACCGAGCTCGCCTATCATGCTGCCAATCGTGAGGAAGATACCCAGAGAGACATCCATTGATCAGCTTTTGAGATGATAGAATTTGGTATAGATGGTGGCTAGAGAAATGGCAGGGAGAACATTGATAAATGTCCAGGCTAATGTATAGTACCAGAATGTAAAAAAGACCGATGGGCAATTCAACATGCGGAATGCATACGAAAAGTCCCACATGCGTAGACTTCTCGTGGTGCTTTTGTTCCCCTTGAAATTGCATAACATCTCGAAGTACGTTCGCTCGTGTCTTTTCGCAGCAAGAGCCACGGTATCGCGACAGAATAGCGTTTCTGGGAAGAAGAAAAGAGCAAAGGGAAGAGCTGAACCAGTAATAATGGCACCCACCCCATAATCCCATTGCCAACCACCTGCTTGGCCTATATAGCTACAGATGAGTGCTGCGATATGAGCGCCATTTGTCACAAATATGGAATAAATACCCGTCTTCTCTCTTTGCTCGTGGAGGAAAAACATATCGTTGACAATGGCTGTTCCTACAGACATCGTACCGCCCGTTCCAACACCGCATATTACATGTGTTCGAGTGTAGCGAAGTTTGGCGAGCAGGCAGAGCCGATTCCACCGATGACAGTGGTTAGTAGAGCAATTGGTCGACGGCCATAAACATTAGTACAAGGGTTCCAGATGAAAGGCTGTTGAATGTTAGTCAGGTATTTGTTCGTATAAGAGACTATATGACCTGCTTACAGAGAGGCCACCCAATGATTATATATGTGGTTGTGTTGTACGCAGCAGTCTTGGAGCTCACACCCATAGCTTTGCTAAAAAGAACCAAGCTAGGATTATGTCCTGTAACTAACTTGAATCAACACTGTTCATTTCAACCAGACAGGCCAATTCTGAAAAGTGTTAGCCGCGGGAATTTTTGACCAGTGTCTAATAATCCGGACTGCAGTTTGACACTCGTAAGCTCTCGAGACCTTAATGGAACCAGGAAGCCCCAGTGTCTGAAAGATTGAATATATTTTTAATATGAAATGATTCTTAGACATTGAAAGCTCTTCATCATCAGACTGCACTACAGACTCTTGGAAATATCATTGGTGATGGAAAAATTGTAAAAACCAACAAGAGGATCATCTTTGAAATAACTAGGCTGGGGGACAAGCGGTAGACCATGACGATCTAAGAAGCTAGCTGACGCTTGCGAAATCGTGCTACCAATCTCAAGATTTGCCGATGTTATCTTTTCGCTACCCCCTTTAGGACTCATGGTGTGATTTTTGCTATCATGGATCGTCTGCCGTCGGGATTAATGGCAATCGAAGTTTCTGCTATTGAATTAATATTCAGGAAATAAATGAAGATTGTCGGTACATAAATACTTCAAGTCGACAGCTTTCGGAGCACAAATTACCACATCGTCCCGTCAGTATGGTTCGCCCGCCCCTAACCCCTTTCTATCGGATGTCCGGATTATTTGCCAACCAACATTCGCAACTGTTTGTAACTCAACCAAGAAGAAACTAGATTCTGTAATTTACTCTGTCCACTAAATCGATGAAAAGTATCAAAAGTCATGAGCTCTGAAATATATCGAATTCACTGACTACTATTTCTTTCAACCAATCGAGCCATTCTCACAGATTCATAAGCGATTGAATTACTGCAAAGCTTCAAGTCCAGACGGCACCCGGCACTGACGTCTATTGGATTTCATAGTACCAAGCGTTGATCAGCATCGATTTAGCACCTTTTTCCAAAATCAGAACCAACCTTGGTTACATTTTTATTTTACCGTTTAAATTGAACCTGATCGATGATTTGACAAGCGAGATCTACCAAGGCGGCCATTGAAGAATTTTCTCGGGGCGGAGTATGCAATCAACCACGATGTGCAGATAAAGTTATTAAGCTTATATCGTTATTGGCATAGTGTGACTGTTTGTTGCTGTATGCTGGTGATTTGATGATAGAGATGTAATTTGATTGGTATGAATTGTGACGAAGCGTCTTATGCTAGTAATTATCCGGATAAACGAGGTCTAAGCTCTACCAATAATGTGATCACATTGATCTCCAGCCGCAATACTGTCAAAGTACTGCAGAAATATGGTCCAAGGTTTTGTAGGCATCATAACCAAATAGTTCATCCAAGAATTCCTGCCGAGACCGTATATTCATATGTCCTTGCCAAATACCAGGATGGGTCAACAGATATTCATCCCTGAGTTTTTGCGTATCTCCATCAGGCATTTGTGTAAAGTATCGTGATTCGATTGAGGCTTTAGCAACCTTCGCAGTCCGCTTTCGTCGAAGATTACAGTACATCGATAATACTTCTGGAAGAGAATCCTTAGTAGGAAACTTCTCCAGAAGCGCGCCAAGTATAGCTGCATCCTCGATACCCATGGCTGCTCCTTGCGCGAGATAAGGAGTCATAGCATGGGCTGCGTCTCCAATCAGACAAAGTTTTCCTGAGTTATGAACCCAGTTGTCTAGTTCTTCATGAGTATACAGCTGTCGCGCGTATGCGTTAGCAAGTCTATCATAATTAAGGACGGTAACACTACCCTCCATTCTAAAGCGGTATCCACATGATCAAGGATGATTCCAATTCTATTGATGCGTCAATCGTTGTTATATCGCCCTGCAACTTCGCAATTACCTTGTATCCCAATCTTTGAATCTGTCTCGAAGCTCTGCACTGCTTTGGACCCGTTGGTTTGTTCCATCCGGCATATTTGCATCACACCTGAAATCGTCACCAAAATTGTCAAGCTAAGCACCGAAAGGAATGTACTGACGTGAAGACAAGATTCAATAGTTTTTCCTCCTTTCCCTCCAGCAGATATGATAAAATGGTCGCATTAGGACCAAGCCAGTGATTGTTTCGAGGAACGGAGATAATCTCTTCCAACTCAGGAATGCCTTCAAGCTTTTTGGCTGGCAGTACTACACGATATGCCATTTGACCAGTTGGGATGGGTGCTCCAGCTCTGCCTAGAATGATTTCGCGGGCCATTGAATGTAGACCTGCATTTTGACTGTCAGACTTAAGATATTAAAAGAGCCAGTAGTTAGACTAGTCACCATCAGATGCGACGATCAAGTCCGCAGAGTAAATTTTGCCATCTTGCGTGGAAAGCGCGGGCAAGGAAGGATCAATATTGACGACACGACTGTTCAATCGAATTTTGCAACCAACATTCGTCGCAGCGTCAAGTAATCCACGATGAAGATCCGCACGATGAACATGCCTATCTTCTATTAGCCCATTTGTAAAATCGAGTGAGTTTAACTAACCAATATGGAGACATGTAATCATTTTTCGCAGGCTCTTTCAACGGACATTCGACAAGAATCTGACCATCTTTCCAGCGCATCATCCTCAAATCCACTGGGTTTGTACAATACTTCTCAATATATGAATCGATTCCCAACTTACGAAGAATCCTTGAAGAATTTGGTGTGACCTGAATACCTACAAATCGTGAACAGATGCACATCAAATCGGTGTGCTGAATTGCAATGAGTGCACCCGCGTCACTTACCAGCTCCAACGTATGAGATTCGCTCAGAACTTTCCAGTATCTCCACAGTATGACCTCCTTTTGCAAGTGCAATAGATATGGTGAGGCCAGCAAGCCCGCAGCCAATAATTAAGATGTGCTATCCCTGTCAGATTGTAGTTCCTAAAATGATACGCGGAAGATCAAATACCATGTTGAAGTCAAGTTACTTTGTATTTGTTTGTTCAATAACCATCAAACAGATGGAATAACGACGAGAGTTGAGATTACAGTGATGAATGGAATTGAGAATGGTGTCTCTGCCTTTTTATTTCTTCATGAAAAACAAGTGGCGGACACGTAGATTGTAGGGTGGTCAAGACGGATGGATACTTCCGTTTCCCTTCCCGAGAGGTAAAGTTTTGTCATGATCACAACTACCTAACGGCTTTGTGACTAGTCTAATAATTACATACAATAGCATTGAATATAGATAATATATCGCTGCATGATTAGAACATCGAGAAAGTATCCACTGATCAGGCCTAGCCGGATGTAATGAAATTCGAGGCTGAAAGTGCCAAGCGAATTGTAATCGACTCGAACAGAAAAGTGCAACAACGGCGAGTATAACATGATACAAAGAGGCTCGATATATTGAAACAAGATGACACAACTAAGAAGGTATAGGATAACTTTTGCTAACGAAGTAATGTCCATTTCTCAAAGTCCTGATTCTCATGCAAAGCATACAAGTAATACCACCAACCTTTAACCATCCAATACCTGTCTAGCAGTTCCCAAATGCTTGACTTGCATATATGTATGCAAAGCCGCCCTTCAACATAAAAAGCGTTTAACGGCCCAGGTCTCCAATACATCCTTTACCAAGGAGACGTGTAATGAGTCTAAGATAGACTCGGTCTATTTACAGCACACATCACAGCATACAGCTCACCGTTTAATCGTGTCATCATCAAAACAATGTCTTGGCATAATGCTCAATCTTGTTTCTTCTCCTTTGCTTCCTCCAATTTCTTTTTCCCTTCCGCATGCTTCGCCATCTTTTCACTCATATACCGCCAAGTTCGACGGAATCCAGCTGTGAAGGGTCCCTTCAAACTCTGACTCGTACTGGGCCACCCAATTGTGTTCTTGATTACACTTCGGACTTCAGATCTTAAATCTTCTGGAGGTTCTCGGGCAATCCTTCTTTCAAATCCACCTCCTTCTCTTCTATTAATCCTGGTCCCGTCTTCATCACGCGACGCCTCAATCATTTGATCAAATTCTAGTCGAGGTATTTGGTATTTCTTCTGATATTGGAAGTAGAGCTTCGATCGGAATGATTTTGGCAGACGTCTCACCATGTTTCCCCGTCGAATTGGGTCCATATCTTGAGTTAACCGTATATTTGTTGATGGATCAGATGCCCATTCTGGATCGGAGCACTTAGAATCGTTAAAGCCGACATTAGGAAGGTTGTCAATGAGAGGCGCATAGAGACGGCGGAAGTGGGGAAGGTTATTCCCAACAATATTGGCGACTTTCGAAGGATCCTCTGTCGGTAAAACCATTCTTGGATCGCCCAAGTAACTGATGTTTGCAATGGTGCCATACAATTCCTGTTCGGTAAATTCAGGAGGTAAAAGTAACAATGCTGTTCGCAATGCAGAGATTAAATTAACCTGATTCGCAAGACGGACTCTTGCGTCGTCCCGGAGAATTTTGACGGGCTTCTGTAACCTCCCTGCAAGATACAGTGTTGACCACTCGGAAAGATCTGTACACAGTGTATCCAGATTCACAACACCATATTTAATAAGAGTGCCATTGACCGTAACGTATGGATTAAAATAGACACCAGCTCCCCATTTCTCTTGCACAGCAGTGACAGCTCCAGACCCGAGGGAGCCGAGCGCCGAGTAATGATCTCGATGTTGATTCAAGTTCAGGGAATGCCAATGTTGACTGTAAGATACACCAAATATAAAGTCAATCATCTTAGGGGTGCCCCCTTGTTGTTCAACAATTGCTGGGGGTGGTTTCGAATGGATGGATGTAATGCTTGAAGGTGTCGCTTTCGTATGTTTCGATTGAGGGAAGACGCCGGATCCATACGCAAATGCATACCTAATAGGGGCTCTGAATTGCCATAGGATCTGCCTCAAAGCTTCTTTGAACTCATCGTTGATTACCATGTGCTGATTGACCCCAAAATTAGAATGAGGCAATTCTGAGAACTTCTCGATATTGTAGTTCGGATTCTCTTCCCAATCTGCCGGTGCTGGAATATCGCTGGCCGGAATTGATGATGGAGAAGAGGAAGGCGAGGAAGATCTTGCAGATGTTGGACCAGTGGAGTCCTCATGTGTGGATTTTGTTTGCGAGTCTGTAGTTTCTTTGGAAGCAATGGCAGGACTGTGCGTCGTAGAGAAAGTGTGATGAATCAATTGATATGGACATCTTGCCTGCGCGTATGATACTGAGGAGCCTACTCTGGTTGATCTGAGAGCTGATCTCAGAGCCTGCCAAAGAGCTGTTAGCTACAGAGCACAGAACAATAGGAAGGGATTTGTGCCAGTACAGGGAGCTTTCGGGTTGCCATGGTGTTGGGTTTCTAAGGAGATGTGATCCCATGTGAAGTACTTTTGTTTGTTGTCGGAAGAATAAATCTGAAGCAGCAAGTCGCTGCGAAAGTGTCACCGGCCGTATTTCGCCATATGAATACGTTGTTGAATCTCCATCTCCATGGGAAAGTATGGAGCTATCAAGGGCACGGAAACCCACCTTTTCTTTCTCGAAGACAATCTTAGTCAGCAAGCAGTTGGTGTGGTGGTGCCCCGTGTTGAGTCTTTTGTTGGCGTTGATGTTTCTTCTTAGCAGCGGGAGGGGCCAGACCGAGCCAAGCCAAAGTCAGCCAGGGAGCCAGGTACAGATCAATTGGACAAGTCATGGTCTGATAAAGTTAAAAAGCAGACTTGTGAGGTGAGAGTTTTGGGAAGAGAGTACGTACCCAGTACCTGGTAATATAAATGCACGCACATGTAGGTAGGTATATATCTAGATTACTAATTATTACAGATCGAGAAGTCTTATCGAGTATCTCGCCTAGATGCTATGTATGAATAAGGGAGACGTTTAGATGATCTATGGATTCCATTGATAACCTAGGGTCGGAATAGACTGGAGGAAGAGTTGATAATTGTCTAAGATCAATCAACGTTCATGTTCCTATTCCAGCCAGTTTTATCATTGAAAGAGCATCCTTTGAGACTGCATATAATGAATGGTAAATAGTTGAATACCCTACCTACCTACCCACCCACCTAGTACATACACGTACCTGTCTACCTCTCTAGCCGTGGTGTTAGCTTATGTCCTAACCATCTCTCAAAATTCACTTACAACACTCTTCACCCCGCCAACCATTTCCCCATATTTTCTATCTTCTCCGGTACCTTGATTATGTAATACATATTTATCTCCTCTCCATTCTCAGCCTTGCATCACAGATTCATGTTTGCGATAACTATCGACGTAACGCCAAAACATAAATCCGCAGGTAGCGGTACGTATCAGAGATGAGGGCGCATACTCCTCAAGGTTTGGGAGATTCTCAAAGAAGAAGATCCTCGACTAGCGGCGGTAATAGAATGAGTATGGGTAGTGCTATTCCTCGTGCGCAATCCAGGGTAAGGAATTAATCTTTTGTCTTGCAATCTCATTTGTATACAATTGCATCATCTCACGGGAATACAATTCTTTAGATGTCTATTGCACGACCATCGAATACTCAACCCAGTTTCGACTTCTTGACAGGCGCGGAATCTACCCATAGACCGCCCTCGCGAACAGATCGATTTCGCCAATCAACCCGAACCATTCTCGATGAATCTAGAAGAGAGCCAACTCACGCCGAGACGGATCAAGAGGCGGAGAAAAGAAGAAAAGAATTGGATGAATTAAAGGCCGAGGTGAAGACGTTGAAATACACAATTGATAATTACAAGCAAGAAGAAGAGCTTGCGAAACTGAGGCATGAAAATGAGCTCCGGGATGCGACGCGTAAAGCTGAAGAGGATTTCAAGCACAAGCAGATTGCAGAAGGAGAAAGGAATCAGGCAGTGAGGCAACAAGAAGCCTTGGTTAAAGAGATGAGTGAACTTCGCGACACTTCAAGTAACGAGAAGATAGCACTGGAGAAAAGAGTGCGTGAGGTGGAGCAGAGCAAGCGTCTTCTGGAAGAAGAAATTGAGGATGTGAAAACTGAGAGCGAGGAAGGGAGTCGTATATTGGAAAGGAGAATTTCGGAGCTTGAAACGAGAAATCAGACTTTACAACGCAGCGTCCAAGATTTACAGGAGGATTCCGATCGAAGAGAAGCCTTGTTACAGGATGTTCAGCAACAATTGGCCGAAAAGGATACATCATATGGAGCACTTGAGGCTGAAATACTACGACTTAAGGCGCAGACGGGAGATACCGATACACTGGAGGTGATCAAGAGAGAATTGAGCGAGCAAGTCACACATATTCGAAACCTAGAAGCAATGAATCGAGAACAATCGGCCGAACTAAAGCATTACAAGAGACTACATAAGAGTGTGGAGGTTGTTGAAGAAGAGAAACGAACTTTACAGAGAAAAGTTGAGGCTATGGATGATCTACAGAATGAGCTTGGAGAAGCAAGACTTCAAAGACAAAGACTTGAGGATGAGCGTTTAGCGTGGACCGCATACCTTCAAAATCAGAGCAATGTTGAAGGTCGTATTGAGTTCAATTCCCCAGAAGATCTGGCTAGAGCACTTGTTGAAGAAAGAATGCAAACTGCTACTTTAGTGGAGCGACTTGGTGCTATCGAGTCGGAGGTTCTTGACCGGGATAACATTATTGACGGGCTACAAAATGATAAGAGGTCTATGAGCGAAGAGATGGAGAAAATAAAGGCCGCGGCGGGAAGTAGTACCAGCGGTGGAGATGCTAAGGTCCGTTTACGACTAGAGAGACAACGCGCATTGGCCATCAAGGAAGTCGAATATTTGCGAGCGCAGCTTAAGACTTTCGATGCTGAAGATGAAGCTTTCGGAGCTGGCGATAACGTTGATGATGCGAAAATCAAACGTATTGAAGAGCTCGAGAGTATTGTGGATGAATATCGTCAAGAGGTACAATCACTCCAGAATGACCTCACGACCGCCGAATCGGCTCAACCCAACACAGCAACAGCTCTTGCGGGTACCAAACATCCACGAGAAGAGAACGACGAAAATGAACGCATTGGGGTCCTCACTAGGAAAAACCGTAAACTTCAGGACACTATCACAAACCTTCAAACATCACAAAAGCTCCTTCAGAAGGAACTCTCTGTCACACAAGAACGTCTTACAGTCGCAACCACTCACTCACAGACACGCATTCTATCCCTTCGTTCCAATCCTACCTCTGACTTTGAGGCCATCAAACTTTCCACCATCACCGCTCTTCGTGCCGAAAATGCAGATCTCCTCGCTCAACTGACCACCAACCTTCCTCCTGATGCCTCAGTTCCTCTATCTACACTTCAAACTCAACAAGACCTAGTTGCAGAATCTCAAGCCGCACTCAAGGATGAACGAACTCGAAACGATCGTCTTAAGAAAGTCTGGGGTCTCAAGTCTCAAGAATTTCGCGACGGTGTATCTTCTCTCCTGGGCTGGGACGCTGTATTCATGCCCAATGGTAAAATGCGCGTAACATCGTTCTATTATCCTTCCGTTGGTGAAGAAGAGAATAGTATCGTATTTGACGGCGAAAGAGGAACAATGAAGGTTAGCGGTGGACCAGAAAGCAAATTTGCTGGAAGGATAATGGAAAACATCAAATTCTGGGTCAACGAAAGAGGTAGCATTCCATGTTTCTTGGCGGCGTTAACATTGGAGTTTTATGAAGAGAAAAAGGGAGATGGAACTGTAATGGTTGGCTGATGAGGGGATTTGCTTTGACATGTGTGTAAATTATGGAATGGACATGCATCTAAGGGAATAGGAGTTTATGGGATACATACGACATGTATGAGGTAGAGAGTATACCAAATGACATATTAATCTTGCCGAATCATTTATTTTAAGTCAATGGTGATGTTGAAGGTTTCTGAACGACATCTACATCTGGGGTCAAGTGATGGACAAAGTATCGATCAACACAATTGAGGAATTGCCTTTGATATATTCGCTATGACATTTCCAAACATCCGAAACTTGCTTCCGCTTCTTCTGTACCATCCTAATTACTTGCTTCCATCTTCACAGCCCACTCTGGGCTTCAAAAACTCAAAGCAAAGATATCAAAATATCAAGTATATATACATGAGAAGTAGAAAGTCGCCTCTTTTCCACTAAATTCCCTCCCATCATCCTTTTCTTCCTTCCCTCCTTTTTGAATCTCTCATTCATGTGTTATCCCAACCTGAAAGTGACCACCAATAATCAAACATTATCCTTCCCTTGACAAAGTAGATAGATAGGATAGTCATCCATCCAACCCACTACTCTACTCGCCACATCCTCTTTCCTTTCCTTCCCTTTCAAAAATCAAATAAAACGCCATAAAATGAGTGTGTATTGGGTATCTTCCTCCATCCATCTTCTTCCTTTCCGTGCGTTCATGCTTTCATCATTCATACCGAATTAAAAGACCGTGATTTGGCATTTCCATGCCATGCATGCATGCGTGTTTTTCGTAAAGATTGTAATGTATCATTCTCTCCCTCGTCAAGATTATGATTAAGATAAGGAACGTGTGTATCATGTCTTTTGTCGAGCATGTCTTATTGAGACATACCCCCCCCAAACAAGAGAAATAACGTATAAAACTGATCATGATACGTAAATATGACTGTCGCTCGTTTCGTTTCATTTCGTTCCATCCGTGTCGTGCAGTCGTGAGAATATATATAAAATGCCGAAGCTGTAAATTGAATAATAAAAAATAGAAGAAGAATTATGTTACTGCTAGCCCATGAGCCCCACAAGTAACATCGCCATCAATGTAAGGAATATTGAAGGCTCCAATTTGGCTCCAGCACCTTGAGCAGGTCCAGTACCTGAAGCGCTGGCAGATCCAGAGCTGGTAGATGAAGAGCTACTTTGCGAATTCGTTGTAGGAGTTGGAGTTGAGGTTTGGGATTGAAGGGATGAATCAGAGCTGGATGTCGAGCTAGATCCCGAGCCAGATCCCGAGCCAGATCCCGAATTTGATGTGGCACTGGAGCCTGAGTCTGAACTCGAGCCTGTGGTGCTTACACTGGGGACAGTCGAGGCTGTTATGGATGGTGATGCGCTTCCAGTTCCGGTTCCGGTTCTAGATTCTGTCCCACTTTCGCTCCCACTTCCACTTCCACTTCCAGAAGCTGTCGGGACGCTAACTACCGCTGAAGAAGATCCAGATGGATTGCCATCGGTGGAAATTATTGTTGGGGAAGCAGAAGACGTATCAACCGGTGCAATTTGGCTCGTAATACTAACACTCGGGGTAGCACTTGCAGTTGGGCTCGCAATAGCACTAGAGCTCGAGGCAGTACTCGAACCACTAGTAGTAGCAGCTGGCTTGACTGTACTGCTGCTCGCCTCAACCGGTAAGACGGTTGCGGTCTTGGTCACGACCTGAGTTTCCGTACTACCCGCAATCTCACTCTGTGGTGCCTGCGCACTACAGAAATCCAAGAACTGTTGAAATTGTGGTTGTATGTATGTTTGCAGTGTTTCTTTCACAGTGTTGCTATTTGCATCAATACATCCTGTACAAGCGTCATAATCGGATTCGAATGCAGAGTCAGGATCGCAGAGAGCGGGAGATTTGCCCACTTTGAGTGCTTCAACGTAGCCATTGTTACACGTGGAGTAGCAAACTGCAGGAACAACAGTAGAATCCCGTTTGATGAGGAGATGTGCGGTGTCTGATTTGCGCTTTCCTGCAAAGAGTCGGGGAAGAAGTCCGCGACGGGCTGGAGCGGAAGGTGTGGCAAGTGCGGAGGTAGAAAGTCCGGTTCGGGTTCCAGCTGGGTAGTGAGAAATATCTGTTTGGGATGTCCAGTCGCCGGTAGTGTAAGTCTTGACAAGTTCTGTTCCTTCGTTACCAATGATGACTTCGGTAACGACTTTCTCAATGAAAATGCCAAAGCTAAGGCCAAATGCATTGGGATTGAGATTGAAGTATCCGGCTGATGGTGGGTAGTACCCAGTTTGGTTTTGTGCCCAGTATACTTCGGTTGTGTTAGGAGATGGAATACAGTATTTGGCTTCACAAAGATAGTCTGCAGCGGGTGGATCAGCCCATAAAGCACAATGATTTGGCTTGGGTGGGTTGCAAACGTATCCTGGTGAGCATCCAAAGACTGCTGATGAGCTGGAGTCTTGAGGAATTACTGAACCAGAATTTGTAGGCGAAGGACAGGTTATCAATTCAGTTACGGTTACGGTGGATCCGGGCCCAGTTACATATGCTGTTGATCCTGTCAAAGTTGCGCCGAGACTTATGGTCGTTGGATAGATGCTGACGGAACCTGGAAGAGTTGATATCACGGTTGATCCTGCTTGAGTGAGGGTCACTGTTGAGCCTGCAATGGATTGCGTCACAGTTGAGATTGAGACTGAACCAGGAAGGGTTGTTACCGATCCTGGTAAGGTGATTGTTTGATCTGGGGCTGTGAAAGTAGATCCTTGGATGGTAGTAGTTTGCCCGGGAAGTGTGGTTACCGATCCCGGCAAGGTTATGGTAGACCCAGGAAGAAGACTTAAAGACCCAGTGAGAGTAGTTACCGACCCAGGGAGGATAGTTACTGATCCTGGTAGAGTTATTGTTTGTCCTGGAGCTGTAAAAGTCGATCCTTGAACGGTAGTAGTTTGTCCTGGGAGTGTTGTAACCGATCCTGGCAAGGTGACTGTTGAGCCTGGTAGAGTGATGGTCTGGCCAGGAATTGTCGATCCGGGCAAGGTTATGGTTGAGCCGGGAAGAGTTGTTACAGATCCAGGGAGGGTAGTTACCGACCCAGGCAAAGTGATTGTCTGCCCTGGAGCCGTGAAGGTTGACCCTTGAATGGTAGTAGTCAGTCCCGGGAGAGTGGTAACCGATCCTGGCAGAGTAACTGTTGAGGCTGGTAAAGTTATAGTCTGACCAGGAATTGTTGATCCAGGCAAGGTTATAGTTGATCCCGGAAGGATTATAGTTGATGTACTACCTGGCTGGGTTATAGTTGTCAGGGATCCTGATATCGATGTTGTAAATGTAGGTCCAGGGATTGTTTGAATTGATGTTACTGCAGGGAGAGTAACAGTCGTCAAAGATCCGGATAATGAGACTGTTGGGCCAGAAACTATCAAAACAGAAGTGCTACCAGGTAAGGTGATGGTAGTTAAAGATCCGGATAAAGAAGTCGTGATGGTTTGAGCAGGAACTTTACCAAGTCAGTTTGAAATCTATCTAGCATTGTTGATTTACTTACGTGAGGTGGTAACGTAAACGTTGGATGTTACCGTTGGGCCTGAAACTGTCAAAACGGAGGTGGAACCAGGTAAGGTAATCGTAGTCAAAGATCCTGATATCGAAGTCGTAATTGTTGGGCCAGGAACTAGACATCATTAGCACAGAATTTAGAAAACCAATGGTACGAGTTTTACCTGAAGTAGTAAAATAGATGTCCGATGTAACAGTACTTGCAGGAAGGGTGACCAGAGAAGTGATAAATAGCTCAGAGGTGATCGTCTTGGTAACGGATATGGTTGATGCGGGCTCTGTTATCGTGATTGGGGTCCCAGAAATTGAAGTGGTAAGGGTAATGGGAGGAAATGTAATGACATCGATCGAGGTAAGCGTTGCGGCTGGAAGATTAGTATAAATTAGAAGGCTTTATACAGCTTTGAACTTACTAGATATTGCGGTTGTGGTAGTAGCTAAATCGGATCAGCATTGTACACGACAGAAGCATATGATATGTTAACTCACTCTGGAAATTAGTGGTTGTGTAGCTAGCGGTTGTTGCTGTATTCCAATCAGTTCTTATATCCGACTCTCACACTTTGAAAGGTACTCACTCTCACTATCTGTTACAGTTGCTGTGGCCGTGGTTGCTATTTTTCGGTAAGTCAACAGCCTGAATAATTTTAAAATAGCTACTTACTTTCAGATCTCGTAATCAAGGATGTATAAGTTGTTGGAACATATTGTGTCGTGGATATAACCTGCGTGTATGTTGTTGGGACATATTGAGTTGAGGTCGTCGTATGATCGCTGACAACTGTAGTATATACCGTGTATGGATATGAAGTTGAGACGGTTATCGTCGAAAGATTAATTTCGGTCAAAGTAGCGCTGATCGTGGTCAATTCTGTCAAGGTGGTACTATACGTTGAGTAGATATCTGAGATTGAGATACTTGTAGAAACGCTGGTTTCGGTTGTCGTAGTAGGGACCTGGATCTTCATTAGCTAAAGCTGGAAATTTTGCGTGATAGGGGCGTATACCGAAGTTATACTAGTAATCACACTAGTCTCGGTTGTTGTCGTGGGCACCTAATGGAAAATCAGTACTTGATCACAAATTCCTTTGGAAAGGGGTACGGACTGAAGTAGTGAGTGTTGATACAGAAGTTACTTCCTGTATTGTCGTGTAAGTCGTACTTATATAAGAGGTAGAATAGTAAGTCGTTGAACTAATGATAGTTTGATAGACCGTATAAGGATAAGATGTGGAAACTGTCAAAACTGAGGTGGAGAAATATGAAGAGACGATTGTAGTTGGAACAAGGGAAATTTTGGTCGTAGTAGTTGGTACCAAGATTTCCTCCGTTGTGGTGTATGGAATTGAAGTAGTTTTTGTACTCGTCTTAGTATACGTTGAAACCGTCGTGTAAGTGCTGTATCTGTATTCGGTCGTTGAGGATATCACAGTGAACGGATATGAAGTCGTCTTCGTAACTGTAGCCGTGGAAAAATATGAATCCGTAATGGTTGTTGGGACCAAAGAAAGTTGTGTAGTAGTGGTTGGAACGATGACACTCGTGGTAAGAGTAGAAAGGCTGACATAAGTCGATAAATCTATTATCGTCGTAGTAATATAATCCGTGAAGCTGTGGGTTATATCGCTTATAATTGTCTCACTTACAGTGTATGGATAAGAAGTGGTTATATAGGAAGTGTCCGTCGTGCTGTAGGTCTCAATTATAGTCGTATAGACGTAAAAATCAGAAATTAATACGGAAGTTGAGATTGAAGTCGAAATATCCGTGACAGTGGTAGGTACAGAAGTTGTGAGAGTCAACAAAGAGGTCTCAGTGCTGTAAATATATAGCGTTGTTGAGGAAACGACGGTATAAGGTATACTTGTGGTAATCAAGGAGGTAGAGATGGTTGTGGTAAGTACATATGAGGTCGTAATCACATAATCAGTTGATACTGAAGTCGAAATATCTGTGATGGTGGTAGGTACGGAAGTCGTAAGGGTGATCAGGGAAGTTTGAGTACTGTAAATGTACAAAGTTGTTGACGATATAACAGTATATGGTATACTAGTAGTTATAAAGGATGTGGAGACAGTCGTAGTAGGTACATATGAGGTTGTAGTCACATAATCCGTTTCAGTATCCGTTTCCGTCGTAGAGAATGTAGTTGTTTCCCGACTAGTGTAATACTCGGTGGTATATTGAGTGTAAGTAGTAGAGTGGTCGGAAATAACAGTTATCGGATAGCTTGTGTTCAAGGTATATGTGGAGACAGATGTGAAGAGATGATCAACGGTAGTGGTGATATAAACATCAATCGTTGTGGGTGAAGGTATTGAAGTCGTTGAAGTAACCGTGCTCGTGGTTTCATATGTTGATACCTCGACTTTCGTTGTAGTTTCCCATAGTGTATAATTGTTAATAACAGTCACAGGATATGATGAAATGACAGTCACATCTTGGGTAGTAGTATACGTCGAAGGCTGATATATTGTTGTTGGTACGTAATCAGTTGTTTTTGATGTAACCGTAGCTGTCTCATAATCCGTCGTGCCAGTCGTGATAAGTGAGGTGAAAGTCGTTGCGGAATACGATGTGATCGTCGTAAGAGACCCACTTATCGTTTTAGTTATGAATACAGGAACAAACTCTGTGCATGTTGTTGTTACCGTCTTTAGTTTTGTAGTTGTATGATCCTGAGTGGTCGTGGTAGTAAAACTAGAAGTATATCTTTCAGTAGTGGTCAGAGTACTATACTTAGTTATTGTGATTGGATATCCATAACTATTAATCAAAGTGGTCGTATATGGGATCGACGTCGTGATCACATCTGTCAATATGGTGGTCTGCCAAATGAAACTTGTTGTAGTCTCCTCATCAGTGATGGTGTTAGTTTGAGTTGTGCGATCCACCTGAGTAGCAGTGAAATTGTAATTTTTAGTCTAAAATGAGAATTAGTATGGGTAAATTAAGGGATCTCAGAGCTAATTACCGTTGTGACAAGATCAGTCTCGGTAAAGCTAGCTGTAGATATGTTGGTCTATTTATTTTCGATATCAGTTTATAAACTTTAAAGCAAAGCCTAGAATACATACCACTGTGATGACATCCGTCAGGGTCGTAATCGCTGAAATGATCCCGGGAACACTGGAGCCAAATTAGCCATGCTTCTGGTATTGAGCCTTCGTGCAACGAGTCATAGCTATCTCATGATTGTAGTTCTTCGGCAGGATATCCAATATTCCGGGCTGCAGTCTAGCAATGGAAGAATCTCAAACATTCAACTCTTTCCAAATATTGGAATTGCTTCAAACATTGAAATGGAATCCTCGATTGAACTACAATCCAACAGTCAAAAACTCCGGAGCATTCAACCTCTTCTGAATGTTGAGAGTGACCCAGACATTGAAAATGCTCGATTAATAAACCAATTTGAAATACTCACGTTGTCGTGAAAGATTCTGTCTCAGTAATTTTCTCCGTAATCTATTATACATCAGCCCTTGTCCTCTTGACGATGATGATGTAAATTCATACAGTTTGGTTCGCGGTTGGATAACCACCGACGGTTTTAGTTATCTAGTTGTGTAAGCAGCGGAGCTATACCGTTGAATCGTAGTCAGTCCAAAACTTACAGTCTGATTCTGAGTGATAGTCTCCGTAATCTAAAATCCATCAATAAACCGTTTTCTTGACTTCTCAAATCTAATCCACTCACAGTACTCCCTCCATATGGATATCCACCACTTGGGGCAGAGCTCGCGGTAAGAGTAACAGTCTCTGTAACCTTTTTCTAGTTAATTGGATGTCATTTTGTGTGCTCCATCATGCACCCAACTCACTGTAGTCCCAGGCCCATAACCACCTCCAGTTTCCGAGATAATTGTTTTTGTAGTCTACCTCCCAGTCAATGATTATCCCTATGTCCAAATAGAAGATCGCTCACAGTTTGATTCTGATATGCTGTAGATGTTGATATTGAGACAATTGTAGTTGGTTTGCTAGATCGCGTTTAGCATATCTTCACTTTGCTTCCGCCGGCTGGAACTCACTCAATTGTCGTAGTCTCCCAACATGTAGTTGTCGATACAGATACTTGGGTTGATGTAACGGTTTGTGTGGGACATGACCCATATCCACCTCCGGAAGACGTGATAGTCACAGTCTTTGGTTCGCACGTTGAATAATGTCCTTGTCCCTCTGGCGTTATTGGAGTTACAATCGCCGCGGTTGTATTCAGATACTGTCCTTGTACAACCCCAATCAACCCCGCTACTAGTACTCCGATCCGAGAATTGGATACCATTTTCAAATACCGTCCTGTAGATGTAGACTAACGATAGTGTAGATAACAGCAATAATGCTGAGATCTTTTCCAGCGAGCGGAGAAAAAGAGACGACGGTTACTTGGTTCAGGAACGATTGACTGCAGGTAGTTTTAATTAGTTGATGTGCCTGACTATAATATACGACCAAGGTGCGTCAGCTCTAAGGCTGAAGGTTCGGAAAAGACCAATTGAGGCGATTTGCGACCAATTAAAAAGTCAATTAACAATTTTAACAGCCATCTAATTGCCAAGGTAACCTTAAAAAGAATTCCGAAGCGGTGCAGAAAGCCCACGAGGACTAGTTGAACAACAAGAGAGACAAGTAAAACGAGCGAAAAGTCCAGACGATATTGTTCTGAGAGAAAAACCTCAAAATGGAAAAGAGCTAGGGGACCCTAGACATTACGAACCTACGAATACACCACGTTACCTTGACAAATCACTTTGAATATCAACTTCGTGACATGGCAAAGATACAGGGCCAAGGGAGGAGATAATAAAATCGAAGGGTAGTACATGGATTAGCACAGGGGCTATGTGGTGATTTGAGAAAGAAATGGAAGATCTATCTTTCGTCTTACTGACACTAGAGCAGGCGAGACAGGGCAATTTTCTGGGAGAGCAACGCGGGAAAAGAAAAAGAAAAACCATGAGCCTCAATAAGACAACACATTCTACTGTGCATGCTGTATCTACCCTTGACTAAACATACGATCCTTGTATACTATCGTCCAACAGAAAATGATATGCATCTTGGCAAGCGGATCTATAAATCCAATGCAATCCCTTGGATGACGAGAATTACGAGGATGAATTTCGCCTATCACTACATGATATCGGAGCAAGAAGACCATGTCGTTCATGCCCTTTTCCTTCGGAAAATTCTTTCGTACAACGGATTGCCACCTTCTTTGCAGGACCGAACAATTTTTTTCAGAATGGCATGTTAATAAAATGTTTGTTTACTGTTGGGAAGTAAGATCCCGGGATTTTAACCTTGCCAGATAGTTGCAGCCATGTCTATTTTGGGGGCGATTCCGTGTAGCTGGGTAGTTTGGCTGAATCTAATGATCCATGGAGATTTTTTGTGGCCTACCAACTGTTGTCAAAAGAATCTGCAAAGCGGTTGAATAAGAAATTGACAGGTGACAGAGTGTGATGAGAGGCTGAGTGGCAGTGGAGAACATGTTGGACTTTCAGTGGAATTCTGCTTACTTGGTAGAGGGGGGTGGTGAGTGTTGGGTATTGGGTATTGGGTGAATGAATAGGAAGAGGGTCTTGAGGCTGTTAGGTAAAATCTCACTGCAGCACTTTTTACTTGTTCATTCTTCCACTTTTCACTCTCGCAATCGTCATCATGGTGCCTCGATTGCATACGACCGAATATGCAGGTGATCGCTTCTAGCCTTTCGTTGCCTCAATTTTACGATGTTTACACATGTAGAAGTAGAGGTAGCAAATGGATAATGGATGAAGGAGCCGAGAGTAGGTCGTATGGAGGTCGAGTGGGAGGTCGAGAAACGGAAAGAAAATAAGAGGTGGTTGGTGCGAGGTACAGTAAGTGGAGTCAAATGGTGGCTTGGTGGATCATACATTACGGCAATGATTGGTCAAATATGCATCAGCTATCGTTATCATTCGACGATGAAGGAATGAAATATGGAATACTCGCTTAAGCACCCTTTCAAGGAAAATCGTTAGACCCATGCCATCCTCAATTCTATTGAAACCTCATAATTCGTTCATTATGGCATACAACATCTTTTCATCAATATCCTCGTATCCATTTTACCATACTTCGCCCACGCACCATGGACTTTCACCACACTTTCACATCAACATACTACACATGTTCATAGATTTCCTCATTCACTTCCACCAGTGATTTATTCCTATCTTGATTTACGTATAACATACCTTGCTCAGTGCTTACTCATACAAACAAAACATACATCAATTGCTTGATGATATTACCACATCACCTCCTACCAGACTCATCTAGAGCCTCATGAATCACGATATACTAATGGGATTTTGTTGTGGTTGCCCAAAAGTAATTTGCTTTCCTCTGAGTCTCTAAAATCCCCATCACCCCACTTCGCGGATAAACAACCGAACATAGTTAAGCCCCGCCATTTCATTCGATTTTGCGGAGTAACATCACGAGCAACCAAAAGTGGAAGGTCGAAATAGGAAAAATCTTGGAAGGAACCACATAGGTAAGATTACTACCTAGTAGGTATTTGTTTATTTTGAATTTTTTCATTGGAAAGAAAATCGAAAACTTCTTTTTGCAACAACAAATCTGTACATATTTCGGCGTTACCTCGAAATCCAAAAAGAAATATGCCAGAAAAGATCCTAGACGACATCTCACACAGGAGATTTAACCCATTGCGGGGTACTTGGCTTCTTGTCTCCCCTCATCGTACTAAGAGACCATGGCAGTAAGTTTTGGAATCTTTCTGAAAACATGAAGATTCGCCCCGGATAAATACTAACATATATGAAAGAGGACAGCAAGAAGCGGCTTCGAAGATTACACTTCCGGAATATGATGCTGCGGTATGCCGAAGATATTCCCGAGTTAGATGCCGCAGACTAATGTATCTTATAGTGTTACTTATGTCCAGGAAACAAACGCGCCCAGGGAGATTCTAACCCACAATATAAAGACACTTTCGTTTTTGTGAATGATTACAGTGCGGTTAAAGAGGTTCAAGCTGAGTATACGCAGGATGGGGAATCAAAAGGTCCGTTTGTCGTCTTGCCCTCCTATTGTTCAGTCCTTCCATCTCCTAACTTGGATGCTTTACCTTTCTTTCCATATACCAAGACGACATCTAACAAATGATGTAAAAATACAGATCTCTCGAACACTCTCCTACGCGCGGAGCCCGTTACAGGAAAATGCTATGTTCTAACATTCTCTCCTTCGCACAACCTCACACTCGCAGACCTCACTCCTGCTCAGATTCTTCCCGTGATACAAACATGGACAGAGATCTACGCCGCACATTTGTCTCCTTCCTCACCCCTGGCAAGTGTAGCTCAACCTACTACCCTTGCACCCTCGGGCCATAATATCGGAGCCCCAAATCAACAGTACAAATGGATGCAAATCTTCGAGAATAAAGGTGCGGCAATGGGTTGTTCGAATCCCCATCCCCACGGACAAATATGGACTACAACCGGATTACCCGAAGAGCCCGCTTCCGAACTCGTTAATCTCCTTAAATATCGCCAGGAAAATTCTGGACGACATTTGTTGGAAGATTATGTCAAGCTTGAGATGGAAAAAGAAGAAAGAATCGTATTTCAGAATGAGAGCTTCTTGGTAGTTTGTCCATGGTGGGCAACCTGGCCATTTGAGGTCATGATCATTAGCAAGACACATAAAAGAGGTCTGGTTGATTTGAACGATGCAGAGAAATTGGGATTTGCGGAGGCTGTTGCGGAAGTCACGAGAAGATACGATAATTTGTTTGAGACTAGCTTTCCTTACAGTGAGTACCCTCAATTCTCATTGTGCATTCATTTTCTCTTGAGTATTTGCGCATATCCCTCCCACGTTTTCTTCTATTGTGGAGCGGGAAGTTTTAGCTAACCGACATAGGCTCCGGCATTCACCAAGCTCCCTTGGAAGGTACTGAAGAGGAGATCAATGCTTCTTACTTGCATATGCATTTCTATCCTCCTCTTCTTAGAAGTGCAAGCGTGAGAAAGTTCTTGGTCGGATATGAATTAATGGCCGAACCACAAAGAGATATCACCCCAGAGCAAGCGGCTGCTAAGCTAAGAGCATGCGGCGGAGAATTATATAGGAAGAAGTTGTAGAGGCTTACATGGGGATGGCCCATTGGCCAAAGAAGGGCTTGGGCATGAATATCAAAAGATTAATCTAGAACTTGGTAGGATTCCAAAAATACACTCTAGACATACATCTCGCTCAATCAATGTACGTACTCTCTGATATGAATGCTAGCTCGGCTATGACAACGCGTGTTGAAGCAACTAGAACTCAGGGCTAGCGTTGTTAACAAGGCTTTTGGTCCAATAAATGAAATCTAGAGATGTATGTTGAATTTAGATGGAGATTTTCATCGGATCAAAATCGAACTGTAATTTACCTGGTGTCAACTGAGCAGATAAAATGATTCGGAATCAGGGTGGATTGCCGTCCCACAAGCTAATTACCTGATTGGGGTTAACGCATTGTCTTATCTGACTAAATTTCTTATCGAGCTATGCAGCCCACATCAGGCAGAAAGAGGATACCAGTGAAAGATTCCCTCGACCCCGTAAGCAACGACCAACACCAACATTGACCCGTTTACTTCCTTCCTACTTTCGCAGTCCTAACTTGAGAAGGAACCTTCTGCCGAGCCATGTGATTGTCGCCATCGTGCTTCCTACAGAGTACATCGCATCGCTGCACACGTGCAGAATGCCGATGTACACTCGCGGCGTTTCTTGACTATATGATCCAGCAACTACCCGTGAGACACCAAAAATGTAGTTTCTTATGAAACTGACTCAGTAAACCATCAATCTGCTGGTTTCTGATAATTATCTGCCACTTTCAACGCCCGTTCGTGTTGGAAGTGAAGACACAACTTATATTTATATCTTCTTGAAACTAGCTATAGGTGCTCTTTCGTTGGGTACGATGGAGATCGGATGAGTTTGCGTTGGCATCAGCTGAATTATTTTCCACCCACACAAGACTGATGGATTGCAGGGAATGTTGAAGGCTAAGTCCTAATCCGTATCAATATTTCATACCTTGTCAAATCGTCCGTTAAGTTACCCTGCTGTTGCAGCATGCAAGTTCAAGCATTCTCCCCACCAATCCTCAGTCGATCTCCATTAATCCACCCAGAGCGGGCAGATTCATGAGAGGCCATTGAACCGATGGTAGGGTCGCATTTTTTCCTTTCCGTGCGTGTGCATTGATTGATACAGTCAGAAGAATTGTCATCTTTGAATACCGAATTTTTGCTCGGTCTCGATGAACATCAGGCATTAAAGTCAAGGCATCGCTGGTTTTGGTGGCGGAAGTGGCAACAATCTTTATTGATCTTTATTGGTAAAGGGAAGAAAAAAGTCTAGTGCAGGTACATCCACGATACAAGTTGTTTTGCGATGCGCCGGGCCTCTTCAATCTTCAATCCAGAGGGCACCACGCAAAAGAGCGTTTCCAACCTTCATAATTGTTAATCATAATGATTCGGTCGAGTTTCATCTATTGGATTGGCGCTTTCGTCCCATTATGTTTGGGACAAGAAGCGGGATGGCTTGAAGGTCAGGTAAATACGACAATGTGTTACTGGACATCGCCCCGAGGTACGTTTCTGCGAACATGACGTTTGAACGTTTAATTTTCTTGCACTACAACAGCAATTAACGATACTAGCTGCGGTGGTACGAGACACCTTCTACATTGATGGAGGAGAATTGTACTGGGAGCCTGGTATGAGCGATGGGACATACGGTGATCCCCGCCCCGATGGTAAGTTCAGATGTTCGAATATGTAGACTTTACTTACTTCTTTCAAGGGAATCCACTTGGACTCGTATATCTTCTCAACTTTAGCACTCCTTTTCACACATCAGACAATATCTCTACTATCTTTACGAATATTTCCAAGGCTCCGAATGGAGGATCCGCCAGTAATCTCGGACCAAACTACGTTGATGGGGCAATGTTTGCAAACGACGACGAATGGTACACTTATGGCGGGCTTTTGTCTCTCACGGATGCCTTTTCAACGCCAGACGCAGACGCTGCCATATCATACGAGGTCTATTCAGATGGTACACCTTTCAAACAATTCAAATTTGGCTTTCAACAAGCCGACCTACCAACAGGCTTGACAAGATATGTGACGTACGGAGGAGCCGTTAGCATTCCATCCGAAAATCTAGGATATTACTTTTCGGGATACAGGGCGGCAAACTTTGGACCCATTTATAAACAGCCAGGCGCGAGAAATGCGTCTTATTTGGCAAATGTGACATCTCAAACTTTGATTAGCATTGATATGGCGAGTCAAACCGCACCCAAATGGTCAAATGACTCTTTACCGTCGACTGTTCCTGGCCGTGCTAATCCTGAAATTGCCTGGATTCCTGTTTCGGATCGGGGAATATTGGTCGCAGTTGGTGGAGTCATCGATCCATCTTATTCTAGCATTGTCCAGGTCAACAATGCATCTATCAACGAACAAAGCGTGAGTTGTCGCTTTGCCATTCTGTAAAATGTTTATTAATTATCAATAGAGTCAAATAAGTCCCGGCTTCATGACAACTGTTTCCATTTACGACATCGCTGAAGAAGTTTGGTACGAACAAGAAACATCAGGAAACTCTCCAGGGGCGTTGACCCAAGGATGTACCGTAGTTGCATCAGCCGAAGATGGTTCAAGCCATAACATATATTGGTATGGAGGCTATGATGGTATTCACCCCACGCAAGCTTTCTCGGATGATGTTTATGTTCTTTCGATTCCTTCATTCATCTGGACGAAAGTTTACACTGGAAGCGATACTCACGGTCGGGCTGGACACAAGTGTGTCAAACCATATCCTGATCAAATGATCGTTTTGGGTGGATATGCCGCTCTCACTACTGAGATTCCACGTTGCCTTGAAGGTGGTATGATCCAAATATTCAATCTCAGTCACCCGCAATGGCTGGACTCCTATGACCCTTTGGTCTGGAGTAATTACACTGTACCCAGTCAAGTCGTATCTGTGATCGGAGGTTCTGGGACTGGTAGCGCCTCGCAAACTAAACCATCTGGAGGGTTCACAAATTCAAGTATGACAGAGCTCTTAGGAACTGCCTACAACACAACCAAAATCACAAATTGGTATCCATATACCCCAGCTTCATCAACCCCTCCAAATAACCGAACAACTCTTCCTACACCCATCGCTACCAAATCTGGAACACCTTCGTACCTTGGACCTGTTTTAGGTGTCGTTTTGGGTCTCTTCTTCATCACCCTTCTTATTTTAGGCTTTATCATCTATCGTCGTCGCAAGATTTTTGGCCTCTCGCGAGCAGATCGCCAAAGTGAAGCTGGAACTCTGTATGAAAATCGCCGGCGTACTCTCCGATGGCTTTATTCTACCCCCAGAGATGTAAAGGCTCCTACAGTCACAACTGATGAAACGGAACTCAATGCGGTATCTTCGGAAGCTGATACTGATCACACACGCGTATTTGCTGCCGAAATGCCAGGTGATACACAATTTCACGAGATGATGGGTATGTGACCCCTCAGCCCTTGATTTTTAGATTAGAAATTAACCAATCTTACCTTGTAGATACATCTCAGCCCTCCGAACTCCACAACACAGGCTTTGTTCCCCTTTCCCCTAAATCTAATGTTTGGAACAACATTTCTCGTAACCAAACTCCCATCACGCATTCTCCATCCGCAGGTTCCAATCACTCGCATGCTAGTACTGTCTCTCGAAGCTCGGGCCCAAGATCCTCTCCAATATCTCCTGCTCGCGCAGATAGTGTGACACTCAACGAACAGGTAGGAGGTGCCACGAGGGAGAGAATTCATAGTGATTTGAGTAGTGTTACTGAAAGTGAAAGAACTCACTTAAGACAAATTAGTGACGCGAGTGTAAGTGTAGATGGAGATTATGGGAATCTACCAACGCCTGAGATACAGATTGAGAGACCACATGAGGAGCGTGGAATTGAACAAGAGATTGAGAGGCCCGGACTGGTCAGTCCATTAACGCCACCGCAGGGGGTGGGGCAAGGGAGGCAGCATTATTTTGGTCCGGATAGTGTTGGGGGCAATGCTGCACAGAATGTGCCGGCGCCTGAAACGAGGAGGAAGAGTAATTTTGAAGAGAAACTGGATGAGTAGAGTCAAAGGGGCAATTACAAGTACATAGTTTCCACGGAAGGAAAAGTGAAAAATTTACGAATCATGACGGCACTCGAGTGGGTATTTGGCTGAAGGAACAGGATAGTGAAGGCATTGGGGGTCGTTACGGATAGTCTTTACGGATGTATATCTTATGACGTCATATCTACAGTCACGCATTTAGTTTCTAGTCTTTAGTTTTTAATCTTATACCTTTCTATTTTCATCTAACGAGCTTTGTCGATTCCATTCGAAGCGTGAGTCAATACTTGAAGAATTGAAATTGGTAAATCTTCATAGACACATGCACACTACTCGGATGTTGCGGCGACTTCATATATGACCAATCATATTGAATTGTGCGGATAAATATTAAAAGTCATTTATCCGGTCGGGTACCTGTTTTCTTCATGAATTCCCACTGAAGGGTGACATCGGCACCCAAAATTGCATGAAATCTTAATATTTGTGGCTACTAATAAAAAGGATGACTGGTTCGACTGGTCCGATATCTAGCATTTGCATTCATGGTCTTCCCACATATGTCTACGAAGTGAAGAAACACCAAATCTAGATCTCTAACGCTCTTGCATAATTTAGTAATGGACCACATCGTTTATTCCCTGCAGGCACACCATCTCGGGAGCTCGGTTCGTGAATTGAATTTTTGGGAGGACAGCAAAATGGATGGATGGCAGGTACTCCGTGCAGCTTACCGAACCACGAAAATGTCTATACACATCAGATGAATAAAAACAATCGGGAATTAGCAGGAAAATGTGTTGTGGAATATGTATTTCCTTCCATTAATTGCGGATGGCAGCTTCGTGTACTCCGGATGCAGCACAAGTGCTCAGTATTGATTTTTCGTATCCGTTAAAGATCTTGTCTTCATTTGAATAGATGTAGTGTGCAAGAAGTTTGGTAAAGAAATATTGA